TTAGACCCTCGTTGGGAGGATCGTGGCGGCAAAACCTAATGAAGTCGTGCGCGATTCCCTCCACTGCTCAGTGCACGTACAGACTTCGAAATTGAAGCTTGACCGCCAACAAACGCTGCAGCGATAGCTTCGCGGGCTGGTGCAGCCAAGAAATATCAACTTGTGCATGCAGCTATGAACATTCTACCTACAACGAAGCTGAGTGGTGGTCAGCGCAAGATTTCTGGAGCTCTATACGTCGACAACCCAAACAGCCGTACATTTTCCGTTCCAACTCTTATCAAGCGCTTACTGAAGCAACCACATTATTCACACGGATGGAATGTATCGAAAGCGGTTACGTCAGATGGTAACGGAGAGATCGTGGATCTCGAAGTTGTTGGTGAAACCAGCTCGTATCCAGAATACGCGCTGAAGGGAGGCGTCTACATATGGCTCGTTATCTTTGACAATATAGCTCACAAGGAACTGTGGCGTGAGTCCGTGGAGGTTCAGTTGCAATTGAGAGCGCATACAGGAGCTAGACGTAGATGTGTTAGTGAACTAGAACTCCTTGTCCACTTACATATCGTGCGATTTTTCGGTCTCAGCTTCTGTTATACTAGCACAAGCCATTCCAAGAGAAATGTGCCATATTCTATTCATGCCACGGGCGTGAAGTAAAATTCACAGAATACTTGATACAATCGTCCGATCACAGGAACAGCGGGTGCGAACTTAACGAGGACTCGGATCTCAGCCTTTTTGTACTCGAAAACCGTCGGTACCCCCAGCGCACTAGGAGCCCCCTAGTGCGTTACGTGTACAGTACTCGTGTGCCGCGTCAACATGCCAACTACATAAACTGCCCCATAATCAAAGGCACTCCATAACCATCTTCACGACCGCACAATCACTTCCTCACCGGGCATGTCGGCCGAGTTGTCTGAGCTTGAACTTGACCATCGTGACATTGGTGCTGTATTGAGATGATCGCGTTTCGGGAAAATTAGACTCTTCTTATTCGGGGCACCATAATGCTCGCTAAGCCTGATTTCAGAAGATGATTGAAGTAGCGTATTCATCATGTAATTTATATACATATTCGATAATACTTACCATTGCTATATCTAGTTCTTAGTTCTGATGCATCTTCCCCAATGATCTTTTGGTAATGAGGGCTGAGCAATCTGGTCGACGAAGTCGAGTCGTTTGTTGTTTTGTTTGCCCATGGAAAGCCGGAAAAGTGCTAAAGAGATGGACTCTGACGTTAACTGAAGACAAAAATAATACATCAAGACGATCACGGGGAGCTTGAAAGTGCTACAAAGGCAATCCCACCCTACTTCGCCAGGAAGTATCTTGAGGGCATCATGAATGAAATTTTTATTTTCTTATCCTCTCGAATGGCTATGGTGAATTGAATCTGGCTGCGTTCATGAGCTGTTGTTCCATGCATTTCTGTGCAGTATCACCCCAGCACACGGAGCTTTCCATCAATTCAGTGTCCGGATTCTGAGAAACACCCAGGGAGCTGTTGTGGATTTTTAAATATGTCCAACG